CATGCGGACTTTTCGTCTGAATGCAAGTATTGCCGAAGCATGTTGTGGGACTCCTTTGTCAGGCCACGCCGTGAAATGAAACTGACGAACGTCAAGGTTTGCTTCATTTTTCTGCAAATTATATAAAAATACGTACAGCTAAGGGACTGCGCAATAATATTCAGGAGCATTGGTAGCTGACTACATTTATATGGTAGAATGGTATTCGTGTACTCAATATCAGCTAGAGCTCACCTTGTAAAGAGAGAAGGATCGAATGACATAATCTGCAAATACTTCAACTTTTATGGTGTTCACTGTGATGTTGCCATATTGCTGACTAGATTCAGGCCAATACTGATGACATTTTCTCTAGAAAAATACATTAATACACTATTTGATAGGGGACAGCATGGACAACTGGCAATATAGTTAGTCTGTTTTGTTGCATTGCTGTTATTGTTGTAGTTGTTCCTAACGTTACTTTGCTGTTGTTGTTTTGTCTGTCCGCCTCTGCGTCCTTTCTGAGAGACCTCGCTTCKATCGATACGACTTGAGATTATTTGAGTTGTTCTTTTGCGGTTTGTTTGTTGCTCGTATAATCGTGTCGTTTGCAGTCGTATGACACTTTTGACAATAGTCTCCATAAGGAGACAGTGATATTCATCATGGTATCGCTTTAAACTTAAAATATATAGTACTTACTTTTTCTTGTTATATGTATTAAAGGTATTTTATAACGTTTTTTTCCGTTTTAAGATGTAATTAGGAAGATGACTCATAATATCGATCTTACCTTGCCAAGTTCAATGACGTTTGTYAACATGACAATGGTTGCAGTGTTCTGATCCCAAATCATTCTCCAAAAGTCGTTAGTTGTATCGGGCAGAGGTCCTGATTTGTGCATGAGAAGATCGATGAGTTTTATCGACTAAGGCATCGCAACAATATGTCAAAGTCATAGATGTAAAGATCTAGATCTAATAATTACCTTGTGTTGCAATGTACGTATTTGGAGAGCCATCGTATCCCTTCAGGAAATACACAATATATCATTAATCAAACTGAAGAGTTAAGAACCACAACACCCCATGGGGAATGAACTTTTCATACAAATTTTTAAAGGAACACAAATTCCGTTATTATGCCATCAAACATGGACAATATCAAGCGTCCATAGAATGATATACATGTAAACCTGAATACGACTATAGTGATGTGTTTTTGAGTACACTGCAATACCAAGTTAGCCCCGCGTGGGCCTTAAAGAATCACCACGTTTGCCGGGAATAAGGGACTTGATGTTTATGATCTTGTAAGATTCTGAAAACGTATTGACTACTTACTTGTACAAATGAAGCGTTAATGTAATCAGAGGTACTTCCATTCTGGTCATTTTGCAACATTGCTGTGTTCATGTAGTCAGAGTCAGTGGATTCAGGTTTTAGAAAAACACGTGTCCTGTCATCTGTTCAGTATTAAAAAGTACGCTTAGGATAGAATGAAAATAGGATTTCATTGAGCACTAACTTCATACGGAGCTTCAAGGAAAGAAAACTCATCTTCAACAATTCGAGTTGTGGGAATTTTGGTGCGCATGCGCGATACCTCCATCCACTATCATTGTCAAATAATGAATAAGTACTACTTACAAGTAAAAATATTTTTGTAACGATTTTTCTTCATGTTTGATGGTTTTTCTGCTTCGATGCACTGATATTGTGACAATTTTGGAGGCACGCTCTGGTGTGTAGAACAAATTGTGATGAATGTGAAAATACATAAAACATATTGTTAGCATGGTACTTTTTAGTTGGACTCAACCAACACGAAATTATTTACCTTGAACTCCTCTTTAAGATAGCATTCATCAATGGTCCCATCAGGTCTGAAGCACTTAAGGCCAAACAAGATTGGGTTTAACTCGGACCATGTAGGATTCTCCACTTCATCTAAATAACATTAAAAA